CCATACAACAAAGGTATGGAAAATTGCTCTTTTCAGGCAAAGCTCTGTACACTTTCCATGTTTTTCAGATGTTTTCCGTACAAAATTCTAATAAAAAAACAAAAATAGTCTTTTAAGGGCCAACTCAAGTCACAAGTTTATGTCTTTTTGCTTCTAGATTGGGTGATTTGGTGCCAGGTATTTTTTACTTTTGTAAAATACTGGTTATTGTTGTTGATTCATGAACATATTCTTTTCTGGTCAATTTTCTGCAAATAAGCAGATTAATATTTTTGGGATTAGATAAAGTTGTTTTACTGACATTTTGTTTGGTATAATTACCGAATAATTTTGAAATGTAATTAGATTTTAGTCATTAAAAATCCTTAATTTTATCTGTTGTCTATAATAATTCCAACTATAAAATACAAAGTTTTTTCATATGTATTCTTATTCTGTTATTCTGTCATTCTAATAATTCTCTAAAAAGTATCATTATTATGTCCAGCATTTTTATTTAATAATTGGTAGAGATTCCCAAGAATAGATTTTATACAAGTATTTAACTTATATTTAACAAATGCCATGGTAACTACTCATTCAAAACAATGCCAAAGTACCAAATGGTTGTTTTTTTTTTGAAGGATGCTACTTTGAAAGTATAAGACTTCTTTTGAAACCATATTTACATCATATAAAAATGAGGATTGTGGTTTTATGGCCAATATCGAATTAAAATTTCAAAGAACTTTTAATAAGTCTGATTCTTTACAGGAATTTTCCTGCGGCTATTGTCAGCAATTATAACTTCTGAGTTAGCGATTATGCCATTGAGGTTGGATTTTTCATTTTATTGAAACCAAGCCAGGAAAATTATACACTGATTTCAATGACAATGATCCCAAAAATTCGTATATCTACCAATATAATATATTTGCACAATTTCCTTAGCAATCTATATAAGTGTAGGGGAATCACGTGTCAATTTATCAAAAATTTGAATTTGGACAAGTTACATAGCTAAAAGTACGTGTACGCGTTCAAACTGATTCAGAATTTCGTTATATATATGTAAATTCTAGACCCTTTTATTTTCTACAAAAATTCAAATATATTTTATTAATTAGTATTAGTGATCTTGTTTCTCAGTAACTATAAAAATTTTATTAATAATAGTAAGAGAGTGTTTTAATTAATTCCAAAGAATCTATATAATATTAATATAATGATTTTAAATTCACATTACCCCAAGTTCCACGATCCATAGGACACATGCCGCGACTTCCTTCAGTCTGAAGCCATTTCAACAAACAATGCATATGAAATACATGTGTACATTCTCCACATACTATATATACATCATTAATAGCAATGTTATTTAAATATTAATTTAATGTTAGTATCTAAGAAATAATGAATACAACATATATAGCGGATGAATAAAATGTGAATGTTATTTTAACTGAGTGGACAATCATCGCCAGGTATTCTACAAGTAGGACAACAACCATCAAATAAATTTCTACAAATTCCACATACTTCCTCATTCGAAACATCCCAACGCCAATAAGCTACACTATTCCAACTGATTGTTAAAATAATGCAAAGAGAATTAGCAAGTTTAACTCCTTTTGAATAACAAGCATCTTCAAAATCAAATATTTACCGCTTTATTTTCACTTTCATTATTCTCACTGTCTAATCTATTTTAAAATAAGATAAATTCTATAAATTCTAAAAATTTTTGAAAAAAGAATTCAACTGTAAACCAAGTCACGTGCGTTACACGATTATGTAAACACACTTGTCGTGAAAAAAATATTAATATAATTATAATCAATCCTTGCCCTTTTGTTATTTAAACCACCTTTTACCAATCAAAAAATGTTCATGTCTATCATACCCACATTGATGGCATCAATTATATGCTTACCATTTGTAATCTATTCGCCATATTTTGCCAAAAAAATAAATCTGATAAATAAACTATATTTAAAAACAAATTTGCTCAATGACAATTTTGTCAAATTCGATAATTCTGGTTTCACAATACTACTCAGTAGATAATAGTAGATAATAATTTCTAAATTTCAGCCAATGCATTTGTGGTTGCTTTTTCTCATTATCCAATTGAAGATAATGTTTACAAAATTTATGGTATAATATTTTTATCAATAGTTTTTATCTCTAAAACACACTGATTGATATAAATTCA